TAGCTGCAACATTGAAATGATACTTCAATGTGAAAGTACTAGTGATAATAATCCAGTAATGTAGCCTATCTATAGCACTGGGTTTTATTTTGCACTATGGAGTTGTGAATGCAGAGCATTCGGTATTTTTGTCCACATTTCTTCCAACGGACCCGTCAATCAAACTCTTAATGTGTTTTCTTTCTGCTGATTCTACATTAGCTCAGTGCCTTTGTGCAGTCCTGGCTGGGGCTGATGATGATGATGATGATGATGATGATGATGATGGCGGTCCCGGGCTGCCGCCCTGCCGCCGCTGTCCAGTGACCCCTGGTGCTGATTGGAGTAGCGCTTTGGCCCCTGTCCTGTTTTATTTCCCTAATTGGAAGTAAATGGCCTCCTTGTTGACTCTTTACATCCTGTGCAGGGAACCATATGTTGCAGTCACGCCCCCGCCGCCTCCCCTCCCTTCTCTGTCTGATTGCAGCGGTTGCATCGGGATTTCTCATCGCACCGACCGATCGACCGACCGCCGCTGAGCCGCAGATCTCCCACACAGACTCGGAGTTGGTCGCAGCTTTCAGGCTGGAGAGTCGGGACTGGACCAACAGCCTCAGAACGACAACTGCATTCATGTCAGACCTGGTTCAGATGTCCGGCCTGCAGGTATCAAGGCTCTTAAACCTGCACAATGTGCGGGAAATGACGCAATCCTTTACTTTTCACATTAAACTGATTAATCAGTTTAATGTGAAAAGTGAAGGAGTAAAATAAAGGCTATATTATAGCACTGAAAAAAAGATGAAATAGCACTGTGCATAAACATTTCTGAATAAATATATTACAGCTGGAATATTAGCAAAGCATGAATACACCACTTCTTATTATACTACACTGGTTTATTGTTCGTTCTGTGCAATTGTTTGTCTGTATATCAATATACTTTATACTGTCACATGTTAAACTTATGCTGTACTTTGTGCAAGGTCATTTAAGTTGAATTTCTTCTCATTTAGCTCTAGGCTACATTTAAACACACACTGCTTTTAACGTTATAGTTAGGCTTTCAAACTTTCTTGTACCACTGTAATACAATCTTATATTGATCTTATAAAATATAAAGATATATCTCAATTGCTATTTAATAATATAAATCTTATTTATCTTATCTTGTTTAAGAAAATTCTTGTAGCCTATGTCTAAACTTAATTTGCAAACACATGTGATTCTGACATTTCCATTAAATTTTATGAGAGCTTAACAAAAAACAACAAACTTTTAATTTAGAAAATAGCCTATATATTAAGATTAAAATGTACTTAATGAAAATGTGTCTTTCAATGTTAAATTAGTGATGCAGCCTATGCTTAAGTATCAATAGCCTATCAAAAAATGTACTTAATATAAATTGATTATGTCCAAAATTTGGGGATACAGGGTTTCCCCCTCAACATGTCAGAAAAAAGCTTAAATCACATGGTTGGAAAAAAAAGTCTCTATAAGTTCCGTCACTGTCATCGAGCTGCAACCAAACTGTTTGATTCCAATGTCACTGAGAAGTTGATTTCTTCTGGGAGATACAAGATTTTCACACGAGAACACAGATACAGGCCTGAGCTCTGATTGGATCCCAGCTGTCACATGAATGTAAATACTGCACCGTCACTAATTGTAGTTATTAGTGAGAGAACGCAGGTCCTGCTTATATGAACTCTGTGTTTGTGTGTGTGTGTGTGTGTCCTCTTTGTGTTTTACGACTGCTTGTGTTTCTATTGTTGCAGGCGGCGAACACGCTGCACTGTTGTAACTGTAAACGGTCTGTGGTGTTCCGACATAAAAAAAAAGCAAATCTGCTCCTGATTAAAACAAGTTTACAGAGCAAGTGGCCGTGTGAAATTAATTCAGCTGCGCTGATTCTCATTATTACCCCCCCCCCTTCTAAAAAAAAAAAAAAAAAAAAAAAAAAAAAAAGAAAAAGAAAAGAAAAGCCCACTCAGAGGAGGCGGTACAGCACCGCAACCAGGGGCCATTTACAGCTGATCATCACAGGACACAGGCTCCATAAATAAATCCATTAATTTGTAGTTTTTTCTCTTTAGGTCTTGGTGCAGATTGACTATTCATGTGTTGAAGGCCTGCTTCATTTTATATTTAAAGTTGAACTCTATTTTTATTTATTATGTCATAGATTTCTTCATCTTTGTTCACTTGTGCAAGAAGTGCATTTATTCTCCAGCAGTTATTCACGCAGCCGATTAGAGGAGTCAGATTCTATTACAATTTCTTTAAATGTTTGGTTTAAAGGGTCTAATTTTCTAATAATAATATATTTTCTAATGTTGAGTCAACCAGTGGGTTCTTATTTGAAATGAAGTTAATTCAGCAACAATCATGGACTAAATTAATCTGGACAAAATGTTGTTAATTGCCAAATTAAAAGAGAAGGAAGAGCAGGGAGTACAAAATTCATCCCACCCTACAGGACTTTTTAAATCACATTAGAAACAGTTCGTTTTGACTGATTCCGTTATTTTTCGTTGATGGAGGTGAAGCTTGGCGCGTCCAGATGCTCAGAGTTTGAGAAAAACTTGATTTGGTTTTTTGTGTTTTTGGTTTTTTCTCTTCGGCTCTCGGACTTCTCGGGTTTCAGGGTCTTTCTCGACCTGTCGGGGGACGCCAGCGCCACATAAATCACACTTTACTTTATAAACCCTGCGCTCTCTGAAGTCCGGCCCAACACACACACACACACACACACACACACACACACACACACACACACACACACACACACACACACACACACACACACACACACACACACACACACACACACACGCGCGCGCGCGCGAGGATGGAAATGTATTTCCAATGTAGAAGCGATTTCTGCAGTTGAAGCCCGGTTGGATGCTTTAATCTCCGCAGCCTGTATCTTCTCATTTTTCTTTGTCGTAATCCAGAGCACATTTCTTTTCTCAAGCATCCCGCTCCCAGGAGTTCTCTCGAACGATCGTGACAATTGTTATTACTCTCATTTTAAACTTGAGCAGTGAGGTGGATCATGGGAAGATGTGGAAGAAAATAAACATCCGCGCACACAAGATTGTCCAAGTTCAAGCTGCAAAACGCATTTCTACATAAATCCACCGAGGGACTTTAGTTAAAATATTCTCAAATTAAAGACCTGCAAAAGTAGCAATGGCCCCTTTCTGAACAGATTTATTGATTTTGATTATTGATGTATTAACATGTGAGCAGCATTTTCCTGTTGTAGCCAGTGGAGGTGGAGTCAATTCTAATTACTTTATACCCTCAGGAGGACAGATGAAGTCTAAAACCTAAAACCTATTTTCTTCAAGGATCTGGAAAAATAAGGATGTTTAAACTTATATCTTTAACCTAGATCAATAGTTTAAAATATTTTATTGATAAGTGAATTAGACGGAAAGAGGAAACTGGAATGTTTTACCACACTGGCAGATTTTTTTCACTTTAAAAAAAAAAAAAAAAAAAAAAAAAAAAAAGATTTTTAGGATTCAATAACTGACTAAATTGACATGATATCCATTTTATGCACTAATGCATAATTTACGATTCATCTTATTTTAGAAAAATCTTATAAATGTGCCTGTGGTGGAGTAAAAAGTTAAATATTTCCCTCTGACATGTAGAGCACTAGCAGAAAATAAAACTTCAGGAAAGTGTAATTGAGTAAATGTACTAATCCCACCAGTGAAAAAACAAAGAGTCGAGTAGAAATGACGTAATTAAGTTTGTTTTACCCCGAGTACATTTTGAATTTGGATATCGGGAGGTGAAATCTGCTCCTGAGGACTTCAAACGTTGACCTTGGGAGTCTCAGCGGGGACAGACGGGACGGTGGTCACTCTCCCTCTCTGAGCTTCTACCTCCCGACTAATTAAAAAAGCTGCTTTTACGGCCTCTCCTCTCAGATGGCCAGATGTGACCAGAGCGCTGTAAAATCTCAAAGCAGTTTACAGAAACACTTACTACACCTTAAAAAACGACTTGAAAAAGCCATGGGAGTCCCAAAGTGCCCCCCCACCCCCCACCCCCACCCTGGTGTAAATACTTTCCAGGACCACGAGCTTCAGTCATGCAGTTAACTTATCATCTAAATGCTAAAAAGATAGAGTGAGGACAAAATACACAAGAGGAAATGTGCTCTTTAAAGTTTATTTTAGTAAAATATCACCCTGGAGTGTATATCGAAATATCACCTTTTTAAATATTTACCCCATTTAAATTACCTTTTACTATGCATCAGGCATTTACTGCAGAACATTCAAACTACTAAACCAGACTTTGGTCAGACCCACATATATATATATATATATATATATATATACAGAGTTCAACTTTACATTATTGTCATATATTATTCCAGACACCATGTGCAGCGACAGAAAGTAAAGTGTAGTGTAAGTCTGCAGAAACACATGCAGCTGAAAGCATCCGTACATACATTAACAGATATCATCTTACCATTCAGGAGGCCCGCTGCTCCTCAGCTGCACTGACAAGACGAGAATTAGCTTTGTGAAACACGAGCCCAGCGCCAGCTAACATGTTCATCTATAAGACAGGAGGGTTTACGTTCAGAACAGAAACGGATTAATGCTCAGCTCTGTCCTCATGAAACAGACACTTTTCATCCAGGAAGTAAACAGGACCCATCTTTCCTCCTTTTGCCCCCCCCCGAAAAAAAAGAAGAGAGAGAGAGAGAGAGAGAGACAACAATCAAAAACAGTCATCTTTTGAATTCAACCTTTGCTCAGAGAAATAATTCACATGGGTTGTAAAACCACATGTTTGGAAGAAGAGCTCTCTGTGGAAGCACGTATATAAAAAGACCCAATTGAGGATAATGGCTGCAAGATATTCTTCTGATTTGTTCTGCAGCTGAACATGATTCTGACGGCTCGCGCTGAGACACACTGAGAGAGTTGGGTACTGTAGGAGATTTTCACTACAGATACCAAAACAATGCTTTTTTTTTTTTTTTTAAATATTTGAACTTCCTACAAAAAGAAAAGTTTTAAAATGTTAAATACAAGCAGCCTCACATGAACTCTGAATAAAATACAGTTTAAAATTGGCACTAGTATGTGATTACAGAAGAAGGCAAAGGATACTGAAAAAAGCCTGACAATATAATGCAACGTTGGTTCTACGGACCAACTCAGTGTTCTAATAATTTTGTATTATATATGCACTAAGATGCAAATTCAAATACATTTTAAAAGAGACATAATGTCACCTGGATTCGTTTTTTTTTTTTTTTTTTTTACAGCCCAGAATCCATAGGAACTACGGCCATACACTACCTCATGATTTACATTCAGTGCCACTGTGGATATAGAACCACAGTCTTTCCCTCAAAGTGTCTTAGTTGCCTCACACTAACCCTACCTTAAACATTATTCATTTTCCATAACCACAATCTTTCTGTGATCTTAATTATACCTCAGTTACCATATGCAGATATTGTAGGAAACAAGATTTTTTTAAAAACAGATTGTAATCCAGGGCTTTGCAGAATCATCTAATAGAGGTGTTACTGTCAGGTGACATGGTTGTTTTGGGTTTTTGGGTTTTTTAAATGAACATGGGAGGGAAACTCTTTTTTTTTGAATGAGCAGATCAGTAAAGTTGGAAATGTTCATACAGAGCTTATCTGGAAAATGCTCACTGATAACATATTTAATTTGCTTTCCTACAACATGTGCTTCTTGCAACTAAAGCATCAACTCAAAGCTCTTGGTCAAGGTGAGGGAAAACTGTTCAGCTTGGTTTAACATTGAAAAATGTACCGACGACACAAGACGAAGTGATTTTGTTGCAGTTAATGTGCAGAAACCGGAACCTGGTCTCTGGTGTCAAAGTCCTGTTTTTAGAAGACGGGCTTTGGATGTACTCACAGATTTGATACCCAGCACACCTGCAGATTAAAAGACATTTAATCTATCTGATAGTATTATTGTTAGTGTTTTCTATTGACTCCTATAGTAGAGAATATGTGGTAATGTCCAGATATTTTACAGAACAGGTGAGAAATGATTGTCTCTCTTCTGTGAGCATCAGGAGGCCACGGTCTCTCTCTGAACACCATTTTCTAGTGTTTTACAGTCTTGCTCAGTCTTTGGTGGCTCAATAATCGGTGTGTCACCTCCCCTCTCCTCCTTCACACCTTCCTCCTCTGCAGGTTTGCAGTCTTTGGTTGATTCCACAGCTCCCTCCTGATTCTGCACCGAGCCGTTTCCCTCTTTCCTGTCTCTCTGTGTCTCTGCGCAGCTTCTCCTCTTTGCCTCCTCCTCCTCCTCTTTCAGCCTCTCCAGATCCTCCTCAGTGGCCTGAAGCTGCAGCTGCTGCATCAGCTCCTCCAGTTTGTGGGCCTTACGCAGCTCGTTCTGCTGGATGATGGCACAGAGGTGCTCCGTCAGCTGTTCCTTCACCTCCGTCTTCTTGTGCAGGTCCAGCTTGGCCACCACATACTCGGCCTCTGCCTTCTCATAACGCTTTCTGTGACAAAATATGAGGAAATAACCGGAGAAAACGTAAACAGTTTGTCATATATACTTTGCATCACACTATACATATATCTCAGTTTTACTTTCCTCAATAAATAACCACTTTGGTGTTAGTAGGAGTGTTTCATTTCATTTTGAATATTTGCTGCAACAAATTCAAGTCCTCCCGTCTGGATTCCTTCAGTGCTTGTACTATGACCAAATATGCTGAGTGCACATTATGAAACATATTCATACCTGCTTTTTGTCAAAATGCAACTATGTGTGAGCAAATCAGGTAAGAATTCTGCACAAGAGAAATTTATTTTAAATCACTGATGATCATGGTGGAATCCACTAAGGAATAGGATTGGGTATAGTGCCTGAATGATTGGTCAAATAACTGATTAGTCCATCAGAATATTAACAGTTAACAATTTTGATAATCAACACATTGTTTAAATCATTCTTCAAGAAATACATGCTAAATATTCTCTGGTTCCAGCTTCTAAAGAAAAAAGCATTTTCTGATTTTCTATCTTTTTTAAAGTTGAATGTCTTTTACTTTTGCACAAACAGGAAGAAGTTACAGGTGGCACTGAGAACTTGCACTGGGCATTTATCAGCATTTTCTGAGCAATTTATTTCAAATATAATGACCAGATTAATTGGAAATGGCAATAATGGGCAGCTGCAGCCCTAGTTGGAGTTGGAAGTTACATGTTTGGTGCTGACTGAAATGTGCCTGTAGCACAGAGGATCCTGAACATAATCTTATTTACCAACAATTGATCAGATAAAATTCAACATTTAAGAACTTTGGCTTCTTTTTATTTATTTTTTATTTTTTAAATATGAAAACATGTTTTATTGTAGAATTTCTGAAAAAATGAGGGATGTGAATTAAAGATTGAAAGATATTGTGTTGGCACTTATATGGAGTATTTTCAAACGCAGCCCTTCAGAGGACAGACACAAGTCCTCCCATAGAGTCAGAATACAGAAACATTGTTTTAATTGTGAGGAACAGAAACATCACACGCTGTTTGGAAACACTGTGGTAACAAACCAGATGATGTCAAACTTTTCCAGAAGTTGAATTTCCCTGTCAGGGTCTTATGTTGCACCTCAGCAACTGATTAAATCAACACAACCATAATAGAGTCCAGTGTAATGAGTGTGTGAAGGTCAGTTCCACTTCCCGTTACACAAACATCTGTAATGAAGAGTGTTCATGACATGGAGCTCATCTCACTACACAACAGGCTGCAGAGAGAAATCACAGCTACACACACAAGGTCAACTACAGAATCAATGGATCTCTGTGAGTAGAGACACACAGTTCATTATAAGACAGGTTACAGTCTTTGTACAGGGTCTTGGTGGAAAATTAACCAATATCAAGATGCAGGAAGTTAAACATACATTTTATTTTATATTTAGAAAATGATTCAGGATTTCAGTTATATTAATGCTGCATTAATCTGTGTGAGCTGCAGCAGAGCTGCAGACGGTGTTTGCTGAGGGAGGTTTCTGTGCATTACCATTCCACATGAGTACTGGAAAGCAGCTGCAGGGGGCAGTGTTTCTAGGGTTTAAAATGAGAGGGTTTACAGTAGATGTGCTGTACATTACTTGTTGAATTTATTTTTGTTTGTCTGTCTGTTTTTTTTTTTTTTTTTTTTTTTAAATAAAATAAACAGAGCTGTGTCAGACCTGTCCACAGAGACAGGTGGAATCCATGGAGTTCTTTACAACATGAATCATCTACTACTTGGAGAAAAAAGTGCCAGCACCACAGAAGCAGCGAGATACGTCAGTGCATGTCACAGCCCGAGAGAACAGCAGCACACCACGCTGCAGTCAGTCTCCTCACAGCTCACACTCACCATTTTATATCAATGTATTGTTGTTGCAATAATTGTTTCTGTATTGCTCGTAAACAATACAAGCATAATTACTTTAGAGAACCTATTGTCATTTTGCAGTTTTTCTTTCTTTGTACTGTCCACTTTGCTGCTGTGACACTGCAAATTTCCCCACTGCGGGACTAATAAAGGAATATCTTATCTTCTCTATGGTACAATAATGCGCACATATACACACACACATACACCCAAATGCTTACTGTTCTTGTTCGTTTTACTTATTTATTTGATTTTACTTGATAGATTATACATGTGTATACATATATGTAAATTTTTTACTTATTTTTTTCCTGATATTGTATTGCCTGTGATGCTTTAGTAATATTGTTCACCTGACATTCATGCCAATAAAGCACATTGAATTGAATCTTCCTATAGTGAAACCAGCAAACCTGGGGGCCTTGCTTAATCATTACAGATACTGCTAACAAGTTCACAACATATAATCATCAGAAGAGCAGCTGCCTGTGGATACAGGTCTGGTTGCCTTGGTATTAGTTATCACAACACCAGGACCCTGGCACCAGCTAAATGGAATGCAGTTGTTTCTAATGTTATCAGTCCCACCTGTGCTTTTCCTGCTGTTACAATTCCAAAATGTCTGCTGTATGAAAGGACTATTGTGCCTGCTGGCTCAGTGTCACAGCTCGCTGGGACGCTTAAATAAAACTGAGCCGTCGGTACTGTTATTAGTAACAGCTGTGACAACTCAGCATGTCTGCTGTGAAAAAGGCCTGTCAGATGTACAGGAGCTTACAGCCAGAGGAGACAGGTGTTTGGGATTTGGCTGACTGGACCATACTGAATCAGCATGTCCAGTGCCTTCCTCCCCTCTGCGTACAGTACACACAGGTACAGCTTCTCACACAATAATCTGTCAGCAATTGAAGGCACTTCTTCATAAAATACACTTTGTCTAATTTTTAATTTCCTCATGTTGTGTGTGTCTCTACCTGGCAGCGGTGTAGTCCCAGCTGGCTTGTTCTATCCTTCCTCTCAGGATGCCGATATCATTGGACACCATGTCATCGAGGGCCTGGAGCTCCTTCTGGATTCTCTTCAGCTTCACAGCTTCCGCCTGAGTCTGTTTGGACCTGTGGAGAATGACAAACTTTTAAGGTAAATTCAATTCTTTTGCTCAATCTTGAGTCTTTTTTTTCCTTCATAGTTTTGGCCATCATTCCCATCTGTCATCATATCATATTGCTCACCATGTTACCCAGCCATCTGTACTTACTTCTCAGCAATCGTTTTTGCCAGCAGAGCTTTCTTGCGCTTATTCCTCTCTTCGATTACTTTTTGCTCTTGCTGCAGTTGCTCTAGACGTGTCTTTTCCCGTCTGTAATCAGACACAAAAGGAATTTAACAAACAAACAAAAAAAGGCATCTAAAATTCAAAAGGACAAAATAGAAAAAAAAACTACACTGATACCTGCAGTGAAGCTGTGGGCCTGACAATATCCTTCAAATTTATGCCAAAAGAGACATGAAAACAAATATATACTTTAAAGGCAGTTTGATTAAAAGTTCACAACATTATATCATAACTAATAACATTCATTGTATAAAGGAAAAGTGTAATATGTACCTTGAATTTAGTGGAAATATTTATTCTATGGTGGAACCTCAACATATACTGTACATAAAAGGTTCAAGCATCCGAAGAATGCCAATTATATCTCTGCATATCCACACAGCCCTAAAGTTTTGGGCTCAGCAAATAATATAAACTCACTATAATGAATTTTGATTTAAATCAATTCCCATTTTAGTTACATCTCATCCTATTTGCTCTTGCACTTTAATCGCATTAGTAATCGTCTGTCCATTCATGAAGTTAGACTTTGCTATTGATCAGTTGAGCCAGGTGGGAGTGGAAAGTTTGGGCTTGGGTCCTGATTTATGTCGAAAAACATGACCTGCCATGGTGAGAACATTTACACCGTATTGTGCCTTTTGGTTAACTATCAATAAAAATACTTTTGAAAAGAAAAGTGTCTCTCTTTATTATCTGTCTGCGTCTTGTTGCACTTTTGCATCTCACATATGTCTGCATTCTGTCAAAAATGATAAAATGTCTGTCTAAGGCAAAACCTATGTTTAAATCCAATATCTGAACAGACCACACTGGCTGCTGCCCCTGCCTGTTATTATGATAGAGCAGCGTGCATCCAGCCAGTAAGAAGGAGAGTGCAGCTGCAGATAGTAGACATCTGTAAGATCTGAAAACTGCTAGGTAACATTTTGATTCATCCCGAGGTTTGCTGTGGTAGCACTGTCCAAATCACAGGATAATGTACATTATCAAAACAGTCTTAAGATGAAAGGGAGAACGACAGCTGGAGAGAGGTAAGTGCTATGTGCAAAGCAGGCTACATGCTCATTAACAACAAGCTGTACCTCTACGGTGTGTATGATAACAAAACATAACAAAGCCATACTAACAGTTCCACCTCTTGTTTCTCCAGTTCTTTGATAGCCGGGGTCTGCTCCTCTGCTGCGGGCTGGTGGTTCTCACTCGGTTTCATCTCGCTGTGCTTCGGCTGCACTTCCACTCTGACGACCGGAGCTCCTGATGGAGCTGGGGGCTGAGGCTCTTCCTTCGGCGGAGGCGGCTTGGTGAGTTGCTGCTCCGGTGGAAGGACAGGAGACCCGGCTCCTGCATTTTTCTGAGCGGCGAGCTGAAGGGCCCTCTCCCGTTGTAACTGCTGCCGACTACGGTTGGCTGGAGCCGGCTTCCGACCGCGGGCAGTCGCTGCGGCACCCGCTAAGTCTGAAAATGCATGCAGCAAAGATTAATAAGGGTTTTACAGAAAATAAATGTAAAGGTTAATTTAAAACTGCCAACCACCGGGGAAGCCGAAGCGGAGACAGATGCTAACTTTCCCGGCTAACGTTAGCAGTAAGCAACGTTACCTTTCTGCTGCATTCTCCGCAGCTCCTCATCAGAAAAACCAGCCCAGCCGCTCATTGTACCACTTAACACCTAATGTACCATAAATAAGACCACAAAATACGACATGTAGGACACTTGCTGACAATTAACTGAAGTTAATATTCATTTTATAGCTAGAAATGTACAGACAGACTCTATGAAGCTCGGGATGCCACCTCCATCTTTGTTTATTAATGCCACGTCAAGGACCCCAAGAAGCCTGGTGAAGTAGAAATTGCAGATCGCCTGAATAAAAATAGAAAAAAAACTAATACTAACGATTAATGAGTGAATTTACTCTCTTGTCGCTACCGTTTATCCTAATAGATATTTTAAAAATAAATTTAGTTTTTTATGCATATTTACAAAGAAAACATGACTTATAAGAACACAAAGTTTTACTGTTGCTTGCAGGCAATCTACAAGTCTCCGAAATCTAAATGTTAGTATTTCTGAGCCAGTTGAGGCGTTATGGTTTCTATTATGGTTTAGTGATGTTTAATCAGGTTAATCAGATAACACTTTTAAGATTAATCGTCCATTGTTCATAACGAAATTTGTTCACAGCCTGCACCCTGACTACTATAAGGCTTCTAATAATTTCCAGAAATAAAAATGAACGAAAGAAACAAAACACTTATTGCTTAAACTTATTCACATCATTCAGTGTGTTCATTTCATTTCCCTCCATTTTTCCTCTAATTCTCATCCACTGCCTCATGTAGCTCTTTAAAGGGCTGCCTGTGGGTCAGAGGGATCAGAGGTTAATTAAAGATCTACTTCATGTGAAAGCAGCATGAAATTTAAGTGGCTGTACTGCAAAGTGGAGGGATACACACACCCTGCTGTCAGAGCGTGGCTTGTTTAATATGTTCCTCATTTAAGAATAGGCCTGTTTTGTGCTATAAAGAATAAAATGAACTGTAATAAACCATAACATTGATTAAGCAGGCTTTAGACTAGCAACAGAAGATCAGAAAAGATCATTTCAGCACAGCTGAGCACAGCTGGCAGGTGTGTAGCCTAATTTGATTTAATTCAGCTATAGATTGATAGTGCCCTACATGCTGGTGGCAAACCAAAATGTAGGAGAAGGAGAAAGCTGCTGTTCTTTGGGAATACAATCACAAGCAGCATTTTGTTACTGATTATACAGAGAAATACACTCAGTCTGAGGGAAATACAGTTTGTATTCCTCATTAAAATAAAGTACAACCTGGCCAGGAGAGGTTGAGACCCTGGTTTAAAGCATCTCAGACACACGTTTAATGTGTGTTCATACCAGTGTGTGAACTAGACCATGGCGTTCCGGGAAGCTCCCCTTTTTTTGTAGGAAATTACGCACAAATTTTACACGGATAGGTCAAATAGCAAAACAGTCTACACATAAATGTATGAGCATCAAATCCGAAACAAATCACACCAGGCTGCGTTCTACTGAGTTGTAGTCTCACAGTGTAATTGTTATTGTGAACACAGCCTTAGAACAGGTTCCACCGTTTATCACCTGCTGGGGTTTTAACTTTGAAATGATGTCAGACCTTTTAATCTGACTTTTCCAGCTACCCAGAAACCCGTAAAGTTCCTTATTCCTGTCATGTTATGTGCTATTCTTGTGACTATCGCCTATTAACTCTTGCAAATTGACAGCAGGCGTATCATGTCTGGTGAGTCAGATGTGGAGGTGGAGGTGGGGTCAGTGGACAGGAGACAGGACGGAAGGTATTTCAGGACTGTGTAAGATTAGTCTGTATGATTTGTTTTTTATTGCTTTTTTGTCATTCATCACATACTGCCTTCATTCACCTCTGTATTCCATCATTACCTTCATTTATGTACAACTTTGCACATGCTCAGTGTTTTTTTTTTCAGTAATTGGTCAAGGCACACAGACATAAAGCGTATCTTTTTAACCTTGGCTGTGCCGAGGAGTCGCAGCGATGCAAAAACAATGACCTCTGCTTGGCAACTAATAAAAACTGGCCTCCACATCTTTTTTGCATCTGGGGGCCAATTATGTGCGAGTTAAAAGGCGAAACACCTCAGGAGGGCATAAATCGCCGGCAGAGTGGAGACAGGGCCAGGCATGGAGGCCAGATGGCAGGGAGAGAACTGCTTTGGGTTCAGAGTGTGTTTTGCTGCCGCGGCGTCGGGCCGAGGATGGGACGGCCTTGGATCCCTGATTAGGGAGAGCCAGAGGGGACCACATGGCTCATTACTGCGATGACCTGTGGAGGCACATCAGGGTTAGAGGTGGGGGAAGTGTATAAATCCCCTGTAGGAACAAGCGGTACTGATAGTGGAGAAGGAGGTTAACATGATGACTGCGCTCAGTTCAGAAGTTCAACATGTCAGATCTGTCGTCCACGTGTGTCGAGACGCATTTTCCAAGAACTGGAGAAAGTTCTTTCACTGTTTTACACAGCAAGAGGACGTCAGTCTGAGCTATGTTTACACACGACTGATTAAACAAAATGTATTTTCAGGGTGGGAACCAGGACAATTAACTGGGCAAAACCTCCAAACATCAACTTGGCTAGTGTCTTTCTAATCAATCAAAATGTCAACTCATGTCAGCATGTTAAGGTTCCTGAGGTGTTTTTGCATATTGTATACCATTTACTAAAAATCAGGAATATTTTTTCTTACTTGGGAATTTCACAAATGTCAGCTGATCTTCAACTAATTCCCAAATTACATTTATGAAAATTGCTCTATGTGTGGCAGTGCAGGAAACATCTGATTCTGATTCCCATCTCATCACTGATAGATGGGTGATGAAATGAACAGTTGTATTCTACAGAAGCTGAGAAAGGCCATACTCGCAAATATTTTTTTTATCCTGATGATGAAAATGGGATAAAAAACATATTTGTGAGTATGGCCTTTCTCAGCTTCTGGAGTATTTCTTGTGAAAAGATCACCTATAGTTCAAGAAAAGGATACAACAACTTTCTGAAAATCTGGCAGCCTTAAAGAGTATATAGGTGCATCACTGACACCACCATAACGAGTCATTTATGGACAAACAAAGGCCTCTTTTATGGAGATACCATTGTTAGAGTAATGCATCTTTAAGTCTCACTGTATTCACTAATTATTTTTTCATTTTCTTTTCTGGGTGGGAATTTTGTGTTTCTTTTTTTTTTCTTTTTCGTTTTGTGTCCTGTTCTGTGAAGTGATGGTTGTAGCACTTGTAGCGGTTTAGAGAGGACATGAAACTCACCTGATTGATGCAGGACAAACAACTGTGTTAAAAACATTTTTTTGTTCTTTGATTAAAAAAAATCAAGGGCATGAGACTGTGGACACAAAAACTGAAGGAGAGACGTCAACTACAACACCAAAGGTGCATTTCAGTATGAGCTTCAAATACTCTTGTACATGGCGCTAACAGTGAGCGGAAGGTTAAGATGACACTCTGCAGGAACAGTCAGCACCTTAAATCTGTTCACCTTCTGATTCTGGATCAAATTTGGAGAAATTCACTCACCATGGCACCGACTGCAAAAGCCCACCCTCCGAACAGCAATTATCCAATCAGCTTAACAACTGTAACTAGCCACAGCAGGTCTGTCAAGGTTTGGATTTTTCCACATGTTGAAGTGGTGCAGATAAAACTGTAGAAAGAGAAATACTCTTACTCATAGTCAACATGTTTGGAGGGCCATGTCATGTATTTACCTTGCTAGAGCAAAAATTGAAGGGAGATGGTGGCCATTACATAAACCTATATGGTTGTTACATTTTCCAGGAGTGTTTCTGTGTTTAACATTGAGATGTCCATGTGTTGCTTGATTATAAAGCAGGTGTAGGTTCTATATTAATACTGTGAAAGTATCAAAGCGCTCGGTCCACTGAGAAATGCACACAGCCTGTATTCAGAAACTGAGCCTGAAAACCAGCCGTCAGGACTTCTGGAACTTTGTGATGTCACAACAAAGCAGTCACTGCTCTCAGCCATACCCTAAGCCCCGCCCACCTGGACCATCATCTAACCTTGCAGGATTTGGTTTACCTGAAATCTGCTATATTTTTATTTGATCACTCAGAAAGCAGTCAGCCAAACAGAAGACAGGCTCAGAGCCCCCTCTCTTCTGATTGGCTCTCCTTTAAAACGAACTCTGTAACTTAATGATGTCACAAAACAGTCACCACCTTCAGCCATGTCCCCAGCACAGCCCGAACCCACAATCCAACACTGTCCTTTGTTGTTTTAACTTTATTAACAACACAACACCAAGTGGTCATTCTGTCCCACAGCTAGCGAGCTACATGACAGAACAATGATGAGGGAACACTGCACAATCGTTGGATGTCAGGAAGCCAACATATCATTGCAGAGCCTTCCCAGGGATAGAAATATTGCAGACCAGTGGCTAAAGTTCATTTTTCTGAAATACAGAAGCATTTTTGTCTGAATTTGACCAACTGATGAAATCCATTATCTGTGTTTGTAGGTGGCTGTGCGTCACTCAGAAAACAGTCAGCCAATCAGAAGAGAGAATCAAGGACTGACACAAAACTAATATATCATCTCGTGGATTTCAAAACTTAAATAAAACCAGAAGAATGGAAAGTAGAGGACTTTTAAAAAAAAAAATTGAAATAAGAATCTGGAATGAGGACAAACTTTGAGAACCAGCAACCCCTCCCACTTCACAGCTCTATATGCTACAGCTCTGGTTCCCACCTCCGACTGGCTTCTTCTCCATAATGACCATTGTTGATTACCATTATGTTGGCAGGGGTGTCCGCATTCTGCAACAGGAGTGGGAATTGGGGAGATGAATTTGTTTTGAATAGAAGATTGACTGCTCGTGGTGGTAGATGATTTAACACGTGCAGTAAGTGTGCACATCCCCTTTGCCCTCCCTGCAATCCATAAAGACATGCAGCCCGTGGTGCTCAATCAAACAGGAAGCGCCGTGAAGAATAAACAGCCAATCAGAGGAGACGTGCATCAGAGACTTGGAGCCTGAAAGAAATTGAGGATGATTAGGGGTCAGGCCATCGCCATGGCTCTGGCTGGGAGCTGGAGGAACTTCTAATTGCTGTTTAAAAAAAACGTCTGTACGCAGAGTCCACGCTGACCCCTCGGCCTTCTTCCCTCGTTCCGGCCACAGCGCCTCCTCTCCCTCCTCCTCGGCTGCTGTTCTGAATTTGTTCTTTAAT